CGCCCTTCAAAATCGGGGGTTACACCCTGCTTCCACATATTGAGGACCTGATGTTCATCCAGTCATTTTTGCAAGTTTGTGTTAATAGCTCAGCTATCCTCGTGGCTGCCATCTGCAATGCTTTCGGGTGAATGTTGTCAACACCGATTATGGGTGCGCAACGATAGCACCTTCATCAACACAGTCGTCGAATTCTAAGTGACATGCTAAATACTTGTCTTAGGTGGTGGGACAAGTATGCAACAAGTGCTGGTGGTGCATCGCAATATTGGGGCATTTTGTAGCCGTAGAGCGTTGGTTGCATCCTCAGCGCTTTGAGCACATCCGTTTGCCGAGATGACTGGGGAACACCACGCTTCACTTTTCGTAGTGTGTTCATAGGGTTTGTACAGAAGCTTGTTGTTAGCACAAAACCTTTCCTCTAAGCTCTGCTCGTGTACTAATTTGTCCTCACGGACAGTGATTACGATGCACTACATAGTTGGCATCCGCTTACCATGAAAGATGAGATGAACTGTTAAATGCCATTTTCAAAAGTTCTCATACGAATGGATATCGCTTAACCACTGAAAACTATGGTCTGCGAGGAATCAATACACGGAGATCAGATACCGAACTACGGTTGCAGTCATCTGACCATCGAAAGCTACGTGCGAATTCTATTCAAAGGAGCACAAGTACATTGTAGCACACCTGAAGCGGCAGTAAACCATTTCTTCAGCCTGCTTTAACGGAACCCGTACGCACAATGCTACATTATGCGCTGAATAACAGCAAAGTACGAACAACGACACACGGGCAAACAAACAGCTAAAAAGTGGCTGAAGTTATTTTGTACCGGGAGCGTCTCTAAATGGCGGACTTTTAGTGACTCTTATGCTCATTGTTTCCTACTAAACAGAGGAAAGAATTTCAGGTGAATTCTATGTCCAAAGACAAATTTAACATAAAGGAAATACCTGGTGTGAACTACCGAGTTTACAGCCGAAAGAGTCACAATTTCTGCATAGGACAAACGGAAAGAATGCTCGCTACAAGATTCTATAAACAAGACCTAGCCAGTCACCGTCTCCTCTTGAATTCTGCTAGGCTTGTACCCAACTATTTCACGATTTGGCCTATGTACACGTGTCCACTGTTTTTGTGAATAAATTTTTGGATTTAGTTAGTAATCCTACCTACGGGAAACGAGTCTTTCAAGTGAACTATACCTTTTCCGAGTCAATTGAATCCGTAACGGAATCAAGATCCTCCTCAAGCAAATCATGTTCTTCCATGGGAATGTTCAACTCAACCCACAAGCACCTCAAGTTGAATCTAAAGTGGCGCACACGCACAAATGCGTGCCCATCGTCTTGACCAATTACAAATCACTGCACGAGTATTCAGAACACCTGCATCGGTTGGCGTAGCGGTTAGACTTTGCGCTCAGCCAACAAAACACGGGATGCTCACGCGGACGTCAAAATAACACGTGAGCTCAGTCACTGTAGAATACGGTGCAGACTAGCACGCGGCATCCATGGATGGTTGAGGAAGTACTTCAACTCCCACTCACTCACGTATGCGGCATCAAGACAGCACAGAACTGGGGAATGGAGATATTCCATCTGCGTTCATAGTGCTCACTGTTGCGCGCAGACGACCGGACATGTACTCCACAATGAGACAGTATCGATTGCCTTCACTGAAGGTAGCTGCATGCCAGCTAGCAGACATGTCTGTCGGTGGGTGTGGCCGAATTACCTGTTAACTGCAGTTGATCGCTTAATGATGATGTTAACATCAGCATCTGCACAGCAGCGCATGATGTACTGCAGTGAGCTTTGCGGAAGGGTACCGCCTCAATTGTGAGGTTACCGAGTTGGCGACAACTTGCATTTGCTGGTCTATATGCAATCGTTAGTATATTGCAACCGTTGACAGGGTGAATGAATACGTTTGTAAAGAACCGTCATGAGTTCATGTGAAATGCAGATGAAACGATGACCTATGTTAACGTCAACGCACTCCTCCCCAAAGTGCCACAATGTGACGCACTGGAGATGGTAAAACGTTGTTTGACTGAAGACATTAACCTAAAGAATGGCCGAAGCTTAAGGTGGTTGAAACAACCGAAATTAAGACATTGCACCGTATATTGTTCTAGCTCGGGTTTCAGTCGAAAGTAGGCACTCAAAAACATGGTGTTATCATTAGATCCTTAAAGTCCACTGTTTTGTACATAGTACTGGAAAACTCCAGTAAATGGCCAAAAGTTGTTGGCATATTTTGAACATAAAAGTGAATAAGAAAAGCTAGCTTTTGAAGCATCTGAAATCGCTCACCATAGAGTTGCACATCGCCATTCCTTGACTGCTCTGTTTGCAAGAATGGTTAGCTCCCAAACCGATATTTCGTCAACCGGCGGATACAACGCTACAATTCCGGTCTCTGTGTTTCACAGAGATAAGGCTATGTGCAAAGAGAATAAAATTGGGAACGCCGCTTGCAAGTAGACAGTAATGTAGTTGCTGAATAGTGGACACCCGAACCCGTTAGTGAAACACCTTTTTCACAAGATTCTAAAACCACATTGAAAATATACGGCTGAATGGATTGAGACGTTAAGAATATTATAGGTAGAAGGAACTTCCTTTTCCTTTCCGACAGCACTAACCAAGAAATAACATTCGGGATATGTTCAACACTGGTGTATCTGAAAGACACACTTCTCGTAGGTATGATAACTGCGTTCACAAACGTATTCGCAAACACTGTGGATATGTGTGTATAGGACATACCACGAGCAAACTGCACACAACACTGCTAGAACACCTGAGGCGCGTGTTACGGCAACGTCTAAATATCATGCTCTACTGTGAGATTCAGCGGTGGCGACGCACGTGTTTGGTACCGTGCATGTAAGGTGGCCAGATTATTCGTGAGCCAAAGCAAGACGCTTCCAGATTTTTTGCTCGCCAAACCGGGACACTTAACCTACCCCCGTTTGTTTCGGCATATGCTGACCGTACAACAAATTGAAAAGATAAATATCTACATTTCTTACTTCAATGCAATAACGAAAAGTACTTAGGTTGGTTATTAGTCGGTACAATGACTGTTTATTGAAGTTATACATAAATAAATAAATAGTATATTCTTAATAGAAGGAGACGCACAAGTGAAAGCATTGTCAGATATACCTACAAGCATAGCTGTGATATAGAAGCAAATGTTGGTAGCTCAGGTTGTTTAGTTGATTGGCTGATTGTTCGCTGAGCTCGGCAGATTGACTGCAAACGTTTCGTCACCACTCGAGGTGACATCGTCAGTGCGAGTGTATTTAGCAGTGTGGCGCGTACGAGGCGTCGGTGAGCTCACCGACGCCTCGTACGCGCCACACTGCTAAATACACTCGCATTGACGATGTCACCTCGAGTGGTGACGAAACGTTTGCAGTCAATCTGCCGAGCTCGGCGAACAATCAGCCAATCAAGCATAGCTGTTTCGAAACAGTAAAACGTGTTGTTAAAAGAAGGTAAAACCAAAATTTTCGTAGTTTTGTACACTTGAAAACTTCGTCAGATAATAGTGGGATCCAGGACCATTATGGCGCTGATTCGCGAAAAAAATCAACTGGACATTAATTGTATTGAGCAGCAGATCGCTTGAATGGCTCATGTAAATGCTGACTCCCATCAACCAGAACAGCAGCGCGCGAACGATGTAAAAATGTCCTTGTATATGAAGCTTTTTTTACCCACAACACGACCATGGGCATCCAAAATTTGTCATAACACTGCCTATGATTTTTTCTTCTTATGCTCGGTCTTTCACAATTTTTGCTATTGCCGCATATGTTTAGGTAACACACTGGCTATGTTTCTGCCCTTCCAACATCCGGTCACTCATCGCAGCGTGCGAATGTGAGGAGTAACAAGCAACTTGGATTCTATCACTGTGGTAACAACAGCAAATCGTTGTGTATTCTTTCAAGCCATCTTACCAATTGTTTTGAACGCCATCTTAATCGCTTTTGGGGCCTTCTTATGTTGGTAGCTTTAATTTATCCTTGAAATTCAGACCATCGCCACTTATAAAATTTGATTCTGATTTTGCATCCACGGACTCAATCACTTCCGAATCGGAAAAAGATACGCTCGTGCCACTGGCTACAGTGAATTTTTCCTGCTGCTACTCCAGTACGTTTTCCTAGGATGCTTTGAGCCTGTTTTTATACCAGAGATTGCATGTCAGTATTAACAATATGTAAACTTAAGCTCACTCAACTTTTAGTCCTCAGTTTTTAGATGAGGGATAATTTTTTGCTCAACAACTATCGTTCTTTGCCTGTCTGCTTTCACATGCTCCATCACATCTGGGGTCAGAAGGGACACCTCAGTTAAAGTCTGAGTACTTATCTTGTAGCAAACAAGGTAGAAATGCTCGAGATGAGTGTACTTTGTTGTTTCCATCGGTGCTGTTTTCAATATTGTGCACTGCGTTCGTTTGCATGGAGAGGGCCGGCAATGAGCCATATTGTAGTCAACTATATATCTGCTGTTGCTTCCGCCATCGTCGACAACCCTCACGTCACCCACTAACTTGTTACGCTTGTGCAACAATGATGCGTGAGTCATGATTATCGTCCTTCCATACCTTAGCTATAAGAACCCCCTCGGCTCTGTGTCTCTATTTGCTGGCCCGTAGTCTAAGGGTAACACGCTTCTCTTGTAATCTGACGGTGCTGCTTCGATCCTGCTTAGGGGCAGGGCAACCCGCGCAGTATCTAAGTCCACGTGTGACCCGTGGTGGTTTGCGCGGCAGCGAAGTGTCGGTACTGCGTACCGGCGTACTGCTGATGTCTATCTATCTATCGGATGTAGTGTCTCAGTACAACTGACACGAGCCATCGAAGCGACTATTCGTAGGGTTTTCACATGTACCTTAGTCACTTCAGCGACTCCTTAAGTGACTTCTTCCTAACGCACCAGTACGTACGCCGCGTTATGTTTTAGCCGTTCTGGTCCCCAGGGTGGTGGAGGTGGTGGCGCTTCTGAGATGGAACAGACTCTAAACCAACTTCTTTCGGAAATGGACGGAATGGTCACAGCTGAAGGCACTATCGTGTTTGCTGCCACAAATCGTGCCGACTTGTTGGACAAGGCGCTACTCCGTGCCGGTCGCTTTGACCGTCATATTTATGTTGACCTGCCGAATTTGGAGGAGCGCAAGGAGCTTCTGGCAATGTACACCGGTGAGTATATACTCCGTTTACTTTCACATCTTTGCTGACATACGAATCCCTCAACACTACCGGCCGCAGTTATGCATAAGGTGGAGAGAGGAACGTATGAATCAATTTGCATCTGGTGCGCATGTATTTTTAATTGCGTATCTTAGTGGGTATACCGTATCTTATTGATCAATTTCCTAATTTGCTCTGCTTTTTTGTTTCTCTTGCAGCAAAATATCTATTGTCACCAACCATTGTCCAAAGTGACTTAATCGAACGTTTTGCCACACAGACTCCTGGAATGAGTGGAGCAGACATTGCTCGCTTGTGCAATGAAGCTGCTCTCGGTGCTGCTCGCCGTAGTAACTTTCTCGAGGGAGTCACTTTGGATGACTTTGAAGCTGCGTTTGAACGCGTTTTAGTAGGTGAGTTTTTGAGACTGTTCATTTTCCGCTTCCATGTTCTTCGCTCGTTAGGCACCTAGCCGATATTTGTGTATCTGCTTGGCCTTCCTCGGCTGTTTTCAATATGTTGTTTGGGATTCACCGTCGCATTTGACTTTGCCTGAGATGGAGATGGCTCGGTTTCTTCTGAATGACCAATGCGCTGTCGGGCAGTTGATCATACCCCGTTTCTTTTACCAAATGAGTTTGTCATATTGCGCAGTTTACCCAGGGCAATCAATCTCGAAGAACTTAGAGATCAACGATGGCAAATGTGGTTCCTAATCTAAGGCACGGAGATTGCCCAGCTGCCATTTGTCCATGTCTGTACGTAAGGTCTTAGAAAACACAACTCCCTCCAGGTGCGGGCTAAGAGATTTTGGTCAACTTGCAAAAGGAAATGTGAGCGCTTTGCGACTGCTATTTACCGCCATTTGATAGAAGTTGGAAATATTGTATTTCTTGTGGAAATGTCACCAAACTTGTGAATGACTTCGATCTTGTGCGAATGAGATTGGCGCTGTTCTCTCCTATGTTTACTGTACACTAGTCCCAATCGATATTTTTGTCGCAACGTGACGCCCTCGTGGCGCTCTACTGCCCCTGATATCACCTTCCGGTCGCTTCTGTTCTCATATTTCGTATCATATTCACTCGGTTCCTTAGCTCCCCTCTCTCTTAGCGTGCTCTTATTGGAATAGTGAGCTTCACTTTTAGTCCGCAACTTCTAGCATATCCTGTTTGCCACACAGATAATTCCAGTTTGATCTTAGACGGTGTGTAAACTTTGAATATCTCTATAAATCCCGGAGATCACTTACTCCAGTCTTCTATTTCATTGCCGTCTGATTGATATGCCTTCTGCTTCTCCTAGGGGCTGCCAAGCGCTCCAATCCTCTGTCCCCTCCTGAACGACGCGTAGCTGCCGTCCAAGAAGCTGGCAGAGCTCTTATTGCTTGGCTTCTACCTCACTCCGGTCTGTCGCTGGTGAAGGTTTCTATCGTGCCACGCACTACGGCAGGAATGGGTGATTCTTCTGGTTTGGGATTCACTCATTTAGCTCCAGAGGAGAGGCGTTTGTTCAATACTGAAGAGCTCAGTGATCGAATGGCCATACTGCTTGGTGGCCGCGCTGCTGAGCAGGTCATATTCAACGCTGTTTCCGACGGTGAGGTTGCCACTGCACTGTTGCTAATTTTTCACCTTTTGATAACTGTGGTCCGTGCACCAACATTTAGTGGATCTTGCCACTCTGCCACACATTACCCGCAATCATGATTGCGCTTACAATAATGCGAGCTTACTGAGCTTATAATAGAAATCATGACCGCACCGTGCCTAATAAGGTATCCAGCATTGGTGTGATCCATCCAGAGAACCCCATCCAGGATGATAACAGGCACCAACCCGATTCAGCCTTTCGATGTACCTCTTCTGTTCTTTTGCCAACTCATTGACCGGTCACCTCGGGACTTCACCCAACTAGTTACGGTATTAACAAGTAATACACCCTGGGATAACTGGTTTGCAAGCATTTGGAGCGCTTGACCGAGCCATCGAACACGACTCCAATTTAATAGGCTGACAAACATCCGACGGCGAATTTCAGTATTACTCATTCCGTCCTCCCACCAGATTTGAGCAGCACTTGACCTCAATCGGTGGTCTAATAAGGTCAACCTTCCTGTGTATTTTTGTCTATACAGTGACGCAGGTCTCACCGTTCCGCTGCACAACCCACCATTGACCAATAACAGTACACCCATCCGTCTCCATTAGTGACGGGGGCATTTAAAAGTCTTAGCCATACGTGCCGTGAAGCTGATATAGTCTTCTAAATATGAAAATTGGCCAGCCATTTTGAATAGTCGTTCGGTGGTAGTGAGAGCTAAAGGAGAGTCGTCCAAGTCCTGTAGGAATACTTAGCACTTTGAGAGTACACAGCACATGCCAAAGTGTGCAGCGTTGCGCGTCATATTCGGCAACGGTTGCATAGTAGCTGGATCCGCTCTCCCAAGAACATGTATCTCGTTCGCATAGTTTTGACAGTTAGTCACTAAAGCGAACTTGGGAGAAGCGGAAAAGAGTGTTTCATGATCATCCCAATCCCAAAGTTGAGAAGTGATAGGGGGATGGGACAGTCCTGACACTTTCCATCAGTCATGGTGGAATCAAGGAAGAGTTACCTAGAGGCTCTTGAATGGACAGGAGTTGAGGTAAAAGGATCTTAGTGTAAGAGGGAATCTTTCTGATGCACTCTTCAATGATATACATCGACGCAATCAAGTGGGATCAACAGAATCGGAAATAGCTTTCAAACCCATGTCGGCGAGTAAAACTGCAGCCTACTCGCCGTCTTCCGCGACGGAGTCTAACCTGATCTTCACTGATCCGATTCTCACGAGTATCAGTAGTGCGCCGCGTCATGATAGGCCTGATTAATTTGGGAATACTTGAGCTCACTGAATGATACCACAGTGGTTTGATCTGGCACCATTCGGCTCTTTTGAAAAATTGCAATGACAATCGAAAATAGTCAGATGGTACTTTCGGCTTGCGCAACATAGTGTCGAACAGTGCAACCAACACCAGCGGGTCACCATTGTCTATCAACAACGATGGTAGATAGCCGCATGGTGTGGCACCTTGTTTGGCTTCAACAGTACATGCTCTTTTCGGATCGCGTCGGTGGGTGCTCTCCTTAATTAAGCATCTCAGGAAGGTTCAAATGATGAAATTAGCAGTTCGGGTGTAAAGCCTTGACCAACTCGCCTCTACTGGTGATGAGACGTCTGTAGGGAAATTGTCTAGCTGGGAAAACATAGTAAAGCTTGCTGTTCAGTGTACTCATGCCAGTGTTCTAGTCGACGTGCCTGGAAGTGAACGAATTATCCGCCCTTTTTAATTATCGTTTCCCGCACAGAAATCTTTCTGACCCCGTACTTTGAATGAGCGGAAATACTATTCACATATTCCCTATGGCACTGAATTTCTTCATCTCGTGGACCCTTGTAATCCGCTGACTTTTCATTGTTGAAAACAATTGGGAACTGACATCACGACAGATCTATTTTTCATACTTCATTTGAGCCTCTAGCTAAAATGCATTTTTTTCGTTGCGCACCGAAAGCGATTTCTGTCCCCCCCCCCTTGGATTGGCAATCTCCTCCGTCAGTGATCGCCGATGTTGCCATTCAGATTGCTACTATTGATTCGAGGATTGCGAATGCGGTTTATGAGCAAGTAGGTTCAAAGTTGAACATTTAATCAAATCTGGAGCTGTTGGCTTTGTTCGATTCTGCACGTTAACATATTTGGAATCACGGTGATTGCTCCAAATTTGACATTACTCCTTGAATGACTTGCACTCCATATCCAATGGTATGGTGGTCAGTTTGAGTCTCGGACAACCTATCTTTCGTTGGCCACCATGTAGTTCGATGCGGGCAATTGTGTTAAGAAGCTATACTTCTACTGTAGAGGTTGTGGTTGACACACGAATAAAGCAAGCGATCGCCGTTGTCAGTATGACATGCACCGACTCTAAAATGACCTTCGAGGCGATGTCCTGATTCTAACAGGTGAACGAATCGAACATTCAAACTCCCTGTGACGGTCACGATAAAATTTGTTGTTGCAATTTTCTAGACCAAAGTTGGTGGCTACATAAACCGGAACAACAGAAGTCCAGTCGCCTTCGGTCTGCATTTGTTGACCGTGGTGGATCGTCCAAGTTGAATGACACAAACGCCTGTTCACTGAGATTCCATGCGAACAAGCAATCTTTGCACGTCGGTTTTGAACTACACCAACACGGCAGATTCCGTAGGTCATCCACTCAAAATCACTGACAGACGCGAACCGTGTAACTCAGTAATCGAAATTCAAGTCTGATAACTGATGAATTAAGACTGTTGTCTTGCAGTATGTTTCTGAGATGCAACCTACATCGACTCTGAGGAAAATCGAGGGCCGCTTATTGCCAGGTCTGGTACTTAATGCTGATCTTGGACTATCCAAAGCGGAAGGGACTGCTGTCCTCGAACTCGGTTCTTCAGGTGCGAGCGGGTTATTGGTGAGGGTCAAGCATCAGCAGAAATACAGCACAGCTCATTCGCACAGCACTTTCACATATATTATCTGGCAAGTACCATTAAAAACCACGTGGTCCCTTTAATAGTGTTCCCTCGTTAATTCAGCTAAACAACAATCTGCTAATGTCATCCAAACAGCTGAGCTTGGCGTAACTGATAGCCCAGGTTGTTATTTTCGCATCTTACAAGCTCTCTCGTAAATGTCGTCGGTTTCTGCTCCATCCGATACACTATTCCTATCACAGCTTCTTATTGGTGGAAAGTGGGCGGAAAAGGAGTGCAGGAAACGTTGTTCGCATCCGTCCAAATACATGTCCACCATTGGTGCATAACATTTTACTCTGCAGCGCCCCGAGTCTGTGTGAGCAGCATGATAATTCAGTTTAATTTCTATGGTCGGAACATCAAAGTGCAACACTCTTATAGCCATGAATCACGCTCTCATCAAGGCAAAAATACTCAGCGGCGACTTAGGGAAATCAAATAGGACAAACAAAGGAAATGCTTGAAAATACAATCATTAAATGCGTGTTTAAAAGACCATATAGAAGAACGATGTTGGCTTCCCGACTGTCATCTCAGCACGAATCTTTATGCTCCGGAGTGGCATTGATCAGGAGAAAGAAGTACGCCACTACGATCAAGTTTTTGACCAATTTCGTCATGTACTCACACCGTTGACCACTTTGAGGATTCACCAAACTAAGTACGGTCTTGGCGAAATGGTGATCGACAGACATCCAGGAAAATCATGAACTCTAATTTATTATAGGCGTTTCAAGTTCAAGCCATGTTCCGGTTTGTCAGCATGGACTGCGACTACGACCGGTGTACCCCAGCATCCCGCCCTTGCCACACATTACCAGCGCTTTGTGATCACTGGTGATCACTCAAAACTAATTGCAGACTCTATTCTTACTCAGTTAGCTGATTTCACGCTTCGCTCATAAGTAAATAAAGATTTAGAAACCCACGTAGATCACACCGATCCGCATATTCACCTTGGGATGATTTATCACGTGATACGTTTCCGCTGCTAAGCGGATCAAGATATCACGAGTGGCTTGCCACTCCAGCATGACAACGGCGCCTTGCATTTTGGAGATGCTGGGCCCATACCAAGGCTCTGCGTCAGCCCTTTTAGAATCACCTGTACATCAGCTACGTTCGATCCAAAGGAAATTTGCTTGCTTGCGCACTCTGTCAGTTGGCCAGTCCCGATGAACCACTAAGGAAGGTGGCATTCGCCACCTTTACAGTCCTGGTGCTAAAGAGAAAGGTAGAGGTGGGGCAGCCCTGATGCACCTCGCCCGCTGTGGCCAACCCTGGAAACAGCCCACTCAGGCTCCAGAGAGTTATGACAGAAAGGTTATCGAAACAGAAAAAATTTCTTCCTCTTGCTATAAACATGTGCCCACCTGGACTGAAGGTAGTCATTGCGTCCAAATAGGCCAACTGCGGGTACCTCACTGTCGCAGCACTTGATGTCGCGCACAAATTTGACCAGTACGATATCCATCAGAACGGAAGGCAGCCTGACTTCAACTGCTTCTTATTTCTCGAAAGCCATTGATTTTCCTCAGTATGATGTTTGTGGGTAGTTTACAGATAATGGGATTAAGATGAAGCTCAGATAAATCTTACAGTACATTTTTACGGCATCGACCATTGTGGAGGCATTTCATCGCGTCGTAAACTGTTGTAAAGTATGCTATTAGGCCCAAACACTACTTCACTGTAACAGCAATCTTTTTCTAATGCACTTTGCGAGAACTCAGCATTCCCGGTGGATTCATGTTGCTTGAAAAACAATGGGGACACATCAGACCTGCTGAACTGCCTCACGAGACGTTCTGCGCGGTGATCAAATCTATGGGTCCGAGAATGGGTCATTAGTCAGTTTTAGTCGGATATTGTCTTACTGACTGAAGCCTCTTGGACTTGTACATCAGATTTGCTGAATCAACGCTCCATTGTTCTTGCTGACGCTGTTTTTTCATCTAACTGGCCTCTTCGATTCACTAACGCTACCGATCTAACCCAGGACTTCCTAGTTGCCATTTCGATATCTGCT